TATATATATAACTGAAGAAATACTACCTGGAAAGCTCAAAGTTAATGATCCAGTTCGATTCGATGGGCTTCAAATATGTGATCAGACAATATGTATACATATCGCCTTGAAAATGAAGAAAAACAGACTATATTGTGATGTTATTTCGTTTATTTCACCATACTGTTCTTGATGTTAGTGGTGTCGATTGCCATCTGTTCGAAGCTAAAGTGTAATATTTGAATCACACGATCATCACAACAGTCGAATTTCCACATTTTTGCGCCATTGATTGAAAATACCTTTTTGGACATTCATAGGTACTCTAGCTGGTTGAGATCATTTATTTGGCTATTTCACAGCACTGTTTTTCCACCTCAGATAATGGTAAGCAGGCCAGTTTTCATCATTGATCACTATTTCCCTATTTGTTCTTAGGCTCCAGAGGTCCTTATGTGCCGAAAGTATGATGCTGTAGCAGATATATGGAGTATGGGGATCATTGTCTACCAGTGTCTAACCGGAAAAGCGCCGTTCTATGCTAGCAATCCGGAAGCTCTGAAAAATATCTACGAGACGAGCCCCTGTCTCAAACCGAAGTAAGCTGAAAAACCAAGATCTGTGTTCACGTTACATGGTGTAAAAAAAGTAATTTCAATGGAATGCACATACCAACCACGATAGCATGTGTTCCACTTGCAACAGATGCTTACAGGTTATCTGATTACTTAATTTGAAACAAAACTACCCATTGTGAGGAGTAAACCCTTTCTGAAACTCTACGAACGATAGTATTTTCGGTTTTCATCATACACACTGTCAGCCGTGATTAACAGTTTTTTTGAAATATCGGAAACATCCTTTCCCTTTGATCCCTTTGAATAAAACAATTAACACAATATGAGCAGAACTGATATTGGTCATCAATTGCGCGTGCTCTCAATCAGCTGTCTACGCACATTAAATAGGTCAAATTTTATCATAGGAATACCATATATGGACATTTGCACAATTACATGGGGTCAAGCAGAAGGCACTGGGTGGTTGAGTCATTACCGAAATCATTTGAGTATGGGTCATTTGGTCATTTCACCCACTTGTTTTATTCAGATAATAGTTTTCTTCTTGGTGAAAATGGAACAGAAACAAAGAGACAAACTGCGCAGCAGAAGACATTCCGCTTCGAATTATCCCGTTTAAATTTACCTGCTGATACAAATTTTCTGTCATTTGGAATACCGCGAACTTCTCATCCACCGCTCCTCTAGCCTTTTGGCGTACAAGCTATGCATTTCGTTCTTCGTCATTGACTAACACAGCGAATCGCTCGTCTTCTCCCTCGATATCTCCAAATGGCGTACGCGACAGGGTTCTGGTGAAACTTTCCAAATTTGAATTCTTGTCGCGTTTCAGCACTTAGGTAAATGAGACGCTTCCTATATGATCGTTTAATCTTCATTTTCATTGATGTAGTCATTTCTAGAAGAATCCCAGTTATTTCCGGAATATCACCAGGTTCTTCATGGACGACCTTGTATCCCAAACTTAATCCTATCTGTGCTCTTGCCCATGATACCATCCTACATTTTTCTCTTACAGAGTTCCCCGTGCTTCTCTTACTACCATTACTAGCTATCGGTTATCTGCTTGTAATTAACTCCATTCAAATCCGATTGCGGTCGCTGCCTGAGAGTACTAAACTCGAGGCGTTTTCCGTGTCGCTAAAACCTCTAGTATGTCCATATCCTAATCTGCACTTCTACTTTGCCGCTCCTTTTCCTCTCCTATTTCTAGGCCGCCTCACATCATCAAACTTGAACTGCGTGCACCAATAAAGATTACTTTCTTTTTCCACACAAAATAGTTTTACATTCCGTCAAATTATCACTATTTATAAGGCCCGAATTCGTTCCTCTGTGAAATATTTTAGCCTTGTCTACAGTGTATCGTTCTATCTTGCCCGGTTCATCACAAAGATGTTGACCATCTCGCTGATTTGTCTCCAATATCCACTCTTCAACCATTTTCCCATCATGATGAAACTGCCATTTGAGTGTCCCTATGACCACGCGAGCTACACGCAATGGCTTCTTGCAACCATAGACCTAATCAGGCTTGAAGAGTCAATGGGCAGAAGCTCAGTTTCATAAGGCCAGCTGATTGGGCATCTCATAGTTTCCTCTGATCCTCTACTTTCGCCTATGGAGAGGTCACCCCATCAAATACAAACAAGATGTAATAGTCTTCTAGGTGAATGTCAGAGCGGGCTACCTGGATTTCCTCTCGATGTGAAAAATATCTGTACTGAACACATGCGTCACGCCAAAGTTGATTAGTCCTCAGTCAATTAGGTACTTTCCCTTCCACGTTCTACCTGTCTCTTTCGAAGCATGAATCTAAGCACCAGTCCTCCACGGCCGACTGTCAATTACAGCATCCTAGACCGAAACTCGAAGGCCTTGTGACGGGTCTTTGGACAATCCGGTCACGCGCACGCATTGTATCTACGCATTACTGCCTTACAGGTCAGCATTTTAAGTCGAAGGCTCCGGTTAAGATTCTTAAAGAAAAAGCCCTTCGTCTACGAGGGCTCCTGTGAAGTATGCTTAACCCTAGATTCTTGCAATCATTCGGAAAACCCTCTTTCTAATCTGTCGATTCCTTCCTCCCACTCACAAATGCCTCTGGTTTTTGCCACTAGCAATATCTCTAATAGCTCCACTATGCGTATAAACTAACCTCTTTACTTAGCTGCATGTCACATCCGCACACTCTTGGATATCGGCCAACAGCGTGCCTCAGCTAGGGCCATTAAAACTTCAGTTTAGGCATATGACTTTTCCGAAACTAGCGCCCTGAACCCTACGTCAGTTATCACACTGCGTTCTTCAGACCCAATTTTTCCCCCTCTGCATCTGGCGCTCGCAGTGTTAACGTCGGGATTGTGCCAAGTGTCGAGTGCTCAATTCTTGATTGGATTCCAGTCATTAACCGATGTGTATGGTACACTACGGATCAGCAGCAATAGAAGGAAGCATCTATCTTTATTCGATTGATTGCATTATGCCTGAAATGGAGGATTATTTACCCAATGGCATCTCGGTTGCTGCAGTGTTTGCTCAAAGGACTTCGTAATAGTTCCCGCTGTCTCAAATAGAATCCCTGAATGAATCAGAACGGTTCCTCGATTGCCCTTTTTGCAATCCTAGCAGATGACATGGAGACGAGACATATAGAAATGCCCAGAGCGATTAGGTAGAGTAGGTGTCTCGTCTTCCGGGTTGGAGACACTGAAGGTCATGGTCGCGAACCGACAGCAATGGCGATCTTGCTGTCACTTCTTATCAGACCAGAATGCTTGAAATAGTATATGTGCACAGTTGTACTGTGTACTCTGTGTTGACCAAAGAGGTTCGCTTTCTTTTCCCGTCCCTAAAAGTAGGTCTAATCCCTGTCCTCCTTATACATTATCAATTACCTTGTATGCAATATGAGTTTGGCAGCGATCAGTAAAGTTCACTTCGCTGTATTACGCTGTACAAAGATGATGATGATGATGAATCCTAGACAATCAGATAGGATAACTACGCAAACCACGAATTGTTCATGTCAAGCGCAACAATAAACGATATCGCTTTACGTTGAAACCTCATTCTTCTCAGGGATGCTCTCTAATCGTTTACATTACCATTGCTTACCATTAAAGATCTGTTCAAGAATCCCATTCTTACTGGTGAATACCCATGCTCTTTTACAAGCCAAATCGTGCATACAAACGAGAAAAAGCCGCAACCAAGCCACTGAAAATGGAAGTCCAAAGTGCAATATAGATGCAGCTACAAGTTGGTCTTCGAAACGAAGCTCCCTTGATCTCCTCTCATCATCATCGTACAGCGAGATACAGAAAAGTGAACTTCGCTGATCTCTGACAAGCTCACAATATACACGAAGTAAGTGAGAAAAGTATAAGATGGAAAGGGATTAGACTAAATGTGAGGGCAGAAAAGAAAGTGAACCTCAATCTTCAACAAACAGTGCACAACCTAACTGTGCATACATACCTTTTCAAGCATTCTGGCCTGATAAGAAATGACAACAAGAACGCCACTGCCATATTCTTCAGTGTC